GAATGGTACGAAGTGTCAAGAGATGTCTGAAGAAAGTCTTGCGCAATGCTAGACTTACTTACGAAGAACTTCTGACATTATTGATTCGAGTAGAAGGAGTTTTGAACTCTAGACCACTAACTTATGTATATCCAGATCGAGATGAACCATTAACACCGTCACATTTAGTGTTAGGTAAACGAATACTTACGGCTCCAGCGCAAGGAGAGTTCGTCGTAGAAGACGAAGGAAGAAACGAACTGTTGAAGAGAGACAAGTATCTTAAGAATGTTCTTGAACATTTTTGGAAAAGATGGAAATCGGAGTATTTGACGCAGTTGCGCAAACATCATCAACCAAGAAAGAAAGACGGCCCAGAAGTTAAAGTCGGAGATGTCGTTCTGATTCAGGAAGACAACGTTAAAAGATTAAATTGGCCCATCGCGGTGATAGAAAGTTTACTTAAGGGGAGAGACGGAAACGTTCGAGCTGCAACAGTAAGAATGTTCAATAAAGCCGGAAAACTCGCGACAACTAGAAGAGCGGTACAGAGACTATATCCCGTTGAAGTGAAAGACAGCAAACTTGAACATGAAGATACAAATGAGTTTCCAATCACCTTTGTTGAAAGAGCAAATGCAGAAAACATGGACTGAAACTGTATGTACTGAAATAATTTTATTGTTTTTGTTTAGTTAATTGACAGATATATTTCTGATCTGTCAAGGTGGGGAGTATGTATGATTATCGTGGAACGAGACAGTCTCGCGCGATTCACGCGTGACGTGAAACACATGTTTTGGGAGTGTAGAGTTTCGATTTGAGAACAGAACTTAAAAATATTTAGCACAACGTTTATTTATGTAAATTTCTTTGTTATTATTATTATTACTCAACTTTTTATACGAGTGAAGATCTTAATTTACAACACTAAATTTAGACCGTGCAAGCTAAATTTAGACCGAACAGTTTATACTGTTTTTTCGAAATATAAGATAATATTCAAGCAAAAGTTTAAATGTTTTAAATACTGTTTTCTCAAAACAGAACATTTTGTGCTTTGAGATAAGATGGCCAAGACCAATTTGATCAGTTATACTATAGTAATGTGTTTTTTATGCATAGTGTTTCAGTTGGCATATATAGAGCTCAGCGGAAACATATAAATTATAGCATCTGACCAATGAGAATTTCGCGTCACGATTTGTGACGCAGATATTCAAATTCATTAGTCATCGATGCAGGCTCTCAATTCAGCTTGAGAGCCTGTTCGCAGGCTATACGGTTCAAAATTTGTTGTCAGTAATTCCAAATCCAAACTTAAACCTCGTACAAGTCGTTTTCTTTACACTGTTATCAATATTTCTGGAGATTGCTGCTCTTTTAAGTAACATATTTCTGATCATCAATTTAGTGGAGAAATCACCTGTGCCCCTCAGTAATCATTTAATGATCAACCTGTGTGCCGCCGATCTTGTAAAATCTTGCTTACATTTAGGTGTAAAATTTAAAAATTAAATGAGACTTACCTTAAATCGAAATTTGATTGTAATTCTATGAGTCTTTGGACAAGGAAACTAAGGAGTCATGTGAGATATGCGCACGCAGATCGAGTGTTCAGTTTTAACGCAGCGAGTGATTTCAACAGTAAGTTACTGGGTGGGAAAACGGAAAGCCTGTTTTCCCCTACAAACACTGAATGAACTTTGGGTGGGTGACTCCTTAGTTTCCTTGTCCAAAGACTCATAGAATTACAATCAAATTTCGACTTAAGGTAAGTCTCATTTAATTTTTAAATTCTATTTCGTCATTGGGCTACGTCACTAAGGAGTAATGTGAGATATTCAAAGTGTTGGAATCAGGAGCTTCAACACAAAGTTAACAACCCAACCAAAAACTATATTGAAATAGAACGTTTTCAATGTTCAATCTTTTGCATTACTTAATGCAGCATCTAAAATTGTTTGACCAAAATTAGTCTGGGTTTGTAACGGTTTGTTATAAAACTTATTGAATGTTGTGGCATTAGACCATCCTGCTGCTTCCAAAATCGTTGCAATAGCCATGTTTGATCTTTTGGCTGCAGAAGATACAGCCGCTCTAGTACTATGTCCTGTAAAGTTATCAATTCCTGATAACTTTAAGACTAGTTTGAGCCAACGTGATATAGTGTCCGTTGTCACTCCTTTATGTGGCTTTTGATAACTGATTAATAGTTGCTTACACAATCCTCTAATATTTGTGGTTCTTGTTATGTATTCTCGTAGGACGTTCAGGGGACAAAGGTGTGCATTTGGGGTGAATGATTTCACAACCAACGGACTAAGATGTTTGCCTGGCCGGGATGTCTTCAACAAATCACTGAAATAAAAGGTGTATTGGCTGTCCGTGATTTTCATATGGTCAATAGCTTGGCATCTTTGCTGCAATGTTTGGCATCTTTGTGTCGATATCAGTGCTAACAGCATTGTGAGTTTAAGTGTTAAATCCTTCAATGGTATGTCTTTAGGTGGATACAACGTTTTCAAGAAGTCAAGGACTGTATTAACATCCCAAATTTCCTGGTATCTCGGTAAAGATGGTCTAGTTTCAAATACACCTTTGATAAAGCGGCAGGATTCATAGTGACTAGTTCCCATCTTATTCAGTGTAACCTGAACTGTGGTATTATCAACAAGCACTTTTACATGCTTGTCAGATACCAACTGCTTGTATGCTTTAAGGCCAAACAACACAGCTAGCATTTCAAGATAATTTATATGGTCTTCTTGCTCTTCCACTGTCCAAAGCCCCCCCAGTTGCTAGATCATTTACTGCACAACCCCAACCTTGTTTGGATGCATCTGTTCGAATTGTAATATCTGGCTCAGGCCGATACACTACATTAACTGCTGCATCTATGGAGTCAACCCACCACTGAAGCTCATTTCTAGCCAGTGATGTCAAACACATGTGTGCTTCAAAATTCCCAGCATTCAGTTTGAGGGCTTCTGATTTTTCATGCTCAGTAAGGCGGAAATGCAAAGGCCCATACATGACCCCAGGAAAACTAGATGTAATGAGTGCTACAACTTGTGCCACCTCACGAATACAAGGCCTTTGACGTAGGAGGTGGTTGACTGCAGCTTTTAACTTTCTAGCCTTCTCGGGAGTTAGGGAGACTGTCATAGTGATTGAGTTCAATAAAAACCCTAGAAACACTAGAATTTGTGTGGGTATAAAAACAGACTTTTTCGGGTGTGGTACAAACCCGAGATTATCAAGCAGTCTTATTGTATTTATCACATTATCTGCGCATTCATCATAATTATCCCCAATGAGGATGGAGTCATCAATATATGGGGATAACACATGACCTTGTTGTCGTAGTGATGAATACACTGGTTTTAGTAACTTTGTGAATTTTCTGGGGCAGGATGCTAACCCATTAGGCAGGCATCTGAATTTGTAAAGAGTCCCCTTACATACAAATTTTAAGTATTTTTGATGTTGGTATGATACTCTCACTGAGTAATAAGCATCTTTTAAGTCAACTGATGCCATAAAACATTTTGGCTGCATTAAACTTATGGCTGTCCAAATGGAGTCCATTTTAAAATGCCTATACAGTACATGTGTGTTTAGGCTTTTCAGGTTCAGTATTAACCTGTGTGACCCATCTGGTTTAGGGCGGAGAAAAATTGGTGAAATGAATTCATCAGGCTCATGCCTAGATTCAACAATAACCCCTTTACCAATAATTTTTGAATTTCTTGCGAAATAATACCTTGTTCCTTTTCAGAAAACTGGGTAACTATACATCGGTTTTGTTGTGGCTGGGAAATGAATTCAATTTTTTCCCCATTGACTGTTATTAACACTTCTGAGTCAGAAGTAATTTTTCGCCACTCACTCAGTTTAGTTGACAGCTGGCCTGCTTTAAAGCTGTCTGTTTTCATATTAAAATAATTTACAACAGCAGGCAATAGCGTAGCTAGGTTGCTTACCTGTAAACGTTGTAAAACCGATGTATTCACTGGCACTAAAACCTTGTCTGCGAGTTTTTCCTGGGTAGAAAGGGTGGCTTCGGTGGGTGTTGCTTCCACTGGCATCCCTTGGATAAAAAAGGGTTTCCCTTTCTCTGCCTGTTGTCTGAGCCAGTATTGTTGTTTAGGTTTGACCCTCCGATTGAAAAACGGCCTCGAGATTTGGCTTGGCCAAATCTTTCTTGAACAGTGGTTTTACTGATTTTGTTGGAGGCCCGGATGTCGTTTAATCTCGTTTGAAGATTATCCCCAAACAAAAAACTCGTTACAGGCACCTGCGAGGCACACAAACTGCCATAATCTTTGTGCAGGTTTGGTTTAATGGCGTCGCGTCGCCGCATTGACAGCTCACACATCGTGTGGCCCTACAATGCCAAAACATCGGTATTCATTTTCACCAGCGTTTCAACTTTCGGGAAGCTTTTATGCCTCATCTGCACAAGCTTATCTGTTGACACTGCCAGAATCGATCCAACTTTTGCTATAGATTTTTGTATTGCTGAAGCGCGAAGGTCATGGTGCTTTGCCTTTTGGTCGAGCTTGTCCCAAATCTCAGCGTTTACACGTGGAGCGATAAGCTTTTCACAGTTGGCTGGTCGGGGATACTTTTCCATTTTTTCTTTTATTTTCGCTTCGTTAAGCTTCGTTGACCAACGAGTATTGACAATATCAGCAAGTTGCTGATTTATTTTCGGACCTACGTCCTCTTCTTTGTCAAAATCTTGCGAAATTTCGCTTAACAGAGCGTCATGCTCGAGTCGAGCACATGGAACGCCTGATTCACCCTCTGTGGCCGAGTCGGCCGGGGGTTCTGTTTCTCGAAGTAAATTCTCGCCATCACTATCATCGCTGTCGGCTTCATTCTCCTGTTCGTTCCTTCTTTTACGCTTTTTTGCTGGTTGCTCCTCTGAGTCAGAGGTTTCAACCTGTGTGGAATTCATACGTTTTATCGATTGCTCCATGTTTAACATGGATGAAGACATGCTTGTTATAGCCTTGCTTAAATCTGTCAGAACTTTCGGCACTGCTTTCAGATCTACACTCATCGGTTCGTCGTCTACCTCCGCTAGCAAGTCATTTTCTTCGTGGTCGGACGGCATAATTTCTTCCTCAATTTCTCGATTTTTCGCTGCCATTTTCAAAAAATACAACCGTTCACTCGTGAAACTACGCGGGCAACTGAACACTCGATCTGCGTGCGCATATCTCACATGACTCCTTAGTGACGTAGTCCAATGACGAAATAGAATGTTGCTTATACATAAGTATTTTGAACATGCCAAGCGATATTACATATCAAATACCAGACGAGATAAAATCATCGGCGCGAGAATCGCGTGACATTGGCAAAATTACTAATTCTAGTGAAAGCCTAAACAGTCTATAGCTGAAATAAAAGCGATTAAGGATAAAATTGACGGTGTATTTGTGATTATAAACAAGCTTTGTTATTCTACAACTTGATTACTAAATGAATTTTCTGCAATTCTAGCCAGAAAGGATCTTGTCGATTCCACTACTCAAACTGATTTCGAAGTACATAACAATGTCGGAGTAAATTTAGCTGATGCCACGAACGCGGCAGATAACCAGTGTACCTACACGCTTAGTGGTTTATCGACCGAAATTGAAGGTCTCAAACTAAACATCATAATCACAGAATCAAATATTTTAAGCAAAGTTCAGTCTAACAATCAAGCGATTGAGGAAATTCGTCACGACCTAGACTCAATTAAAAGCCAACAGAGTAAAAGTAACTTCACTTCAGACAATAACATTTCCCCAATTATAAATTCTGAACAATTAATGTCGGACCTACAGCTAATTCAACCAAGATCGATAGTACTGCCACGATTCCTATATGCAAACATGGTCCAAAGCGGTCTTGTGGAGAGAGAGAGAGAGACAGGAGAGAGAGACAGGGAGTCCAACTAAGAGCTGTGTTATGATTATGAATAAAACATATTAATTAAACGTAATATGAATAAAACATCATAACGTAATAAATTTAAATTATTGCACTTACTTGTATAAATCATAAGAGCTTGCATTTACAATGAATAGCTTCAAACAGGGCGCTTATATATGCTCAGAAACATTGATTAGAACGATTGTTCAAATATGGCGAATAAATTGACAAAACGACAATATTACATGACGTTCCAACGAAAATAACAGAAAGGATTGCGGGCGCGAGCGGAAGGCGAGGGTAATAGATATTAATAGAAGGGATGAAACACTGGTAATGCGATCGTGTGATGTGTTCCATAAGTAGCCTGGTCTCTCGGAAAATTCCAAAACGCCTCCTGCCAACTCCAACAACGCTTACGCGCTTAATTACTGAAAATAAACAATGTTTAGCTGTACCGGCTAATATGAAATATTTAAATGTAGCGACCAACGGTTTTTTAACATTATTTAGTTTTATTATTATTTAGTCATTACGTCACGAGACCAGGCTACTTATGGAACACATCTCGCGAAAATGGCCAAGAATGCTCGCTGTTATAAATCACATAAATTAGAGTGATCAGTGCTTTTTTTGGTAATGACTAGGCTTGTTCATGTAAGAGAACATCTACTGAGCCCTAAAAATACCACAAAAAGCTTAAACGGATAGTCTAGAAGCATTTTAAAAAGTCACGTGATATTTGTTTCATCCCTTTTATTTATTTCTTCCCTCGCCTTTTCACTCACGCGCCGGCAATCCTTTCTGTTATTTTCGTTGGAACGTCATGTAATATTTTCGTTTTGTCAATTTATTCGCCATACTTGAACAATCGTTCTAATCAATGTTTCTGAGCATATATCAACCTCGTTCCCAGGCTTTTGAGCATATATAAGCGCCCTGTTTGAAGCTATTCGTTGTAAATGCAAGCTCTTATGATTTATACAAGTAAGTGCAATAATTTAAATTTGTTACGTTATGATGTTTTTATATTCATATTACGTTTAATTAATATGATGTTTTATTCATATTCATAACACAGCTCTTAGTTGGACTCCCTGTGATAAAACATGTCCAAATGCATGAAATAGCATTTCGCAGACCCTAAAAATAGAAAAATCTAAGCAATAAACCATGTCCCTCCCACTCGTTTGGGAGGGGGGGGGGGCTATGCCCTTGTATGCAATACACTGTGGCCTTACATTAGAAGTTCTTATATAATATAATATGCCAAACAATGATCTTGGAGCATTAATTCATTTGAAATTCATCAGACATCAAACTACACAAAAGGAGTGATTTCGAAATTAAAACTCAGTCAAAGGAGGATAAGAGATGATGACTGGGGTTGACAAGCGAGAGTTTGCATCAGAGTTTCTTCAACTCTCGTGCCCCGGTCAAACAAGAACAAGAGTCACACATGCAAGAGTGGGCCAGAGATTACCAGTCAAACGAGTCAAAGCTCACATTAACTCTCATCAAAATTTCAACCAGCTCAAAGTCGATGAGAGATGATAAGACTTGGCAGTCAAACGAGTTGCAACTCTCATCCTCGTTTGACTGACGCTTGATAAACCGAGATACGTATTATATCGAAAAATTGATTAACGATTTTTCGTACTTGGTTATGAAATACTGTAGAAGACAATGTCAGTAAATCAAAAACGACGGTATAGCTAGCAATTTCACGAAGTAATAATAAAGAAACTACATTTAAACCAATATATTAAACTTCTATATATTTTGACTTTTTGCTGATCCATAATACAAGGAAACCAATCATGAACACCCATGCAAATGAGATAACATACTGTAGTCTGCAATTAAATCATGCTTGGTTTTTTCCAAGTTCTCAAGACGCGTGCACACTAAAACTGAATACAATAGGTATACAATCATTCATTACGTCTCAATGAGTTGAAGGAGGAAGACAGAACTTGCTTAGAGACGAAATTTACAAAATCATGTCTGCGAAGATTGTTGAAAATCGTGATTTTCTAAGCCTAGCTGAGCCTTGGCTTTTGAATTTTGGTTTATTGCAAAACGACAAGACATTTGATACTAAAATGATGACGGGGTCACATACAGTTGGTAAAATTTCTCATATTTTTCAAAATTTAAGACCAGCAGTCACAGCAGGTTCTCTTACTAGTGCTGTGCATGTATATTACGCGATTTCGATAGTAAATAGATCTTATTTCTTAATATTTGATTGCATCTTTGCAATTGCTTATATTGTCTTGGTTATATACGGAAGCAATTTTATATATGATTCTATTTATGTCGTCTGCATGCTGAAACCGAGAACTGCCCATGGGATCGATCATCTCCCAAACATACGTATCGCATAACTATTCTTCACGTCATGTGTTAATCACGAAAGCGTAGCATACATAACAGATAAAAAAAACTTTGAAAATGATTTATATACAGGGTGTCCCAAAAATGCCACCTGAACTGAGGAACGTCTCTGAAAATAAGAGAGCCGCCATGCATATAGTAAAAACCCGCGCATATAGACTGGTTCTTTATATTTCTATATTAAGATACTCATTATTATTCATTAGGCAAATTGTCCGATAACATGATCATATCAGTTTGTCCGTCCATGCATGTGCAGGGATTTTATACCTGATAAATATGCTCTACTTAATATAGCCATCCCAACGGAAATACGGTTCTATACATTAACCCAATGAAAATGTTAACTAACATGAGATTTTACTATATAAAAGCACATGTAGTTTATATAAAATCTGATGTTTGTACAAAGTTGAACTGTATATGGACAATATGTACGAGGTCTACATTAAAATGACTGAGAAAGATATCGATCAAATACATACGAAATTATGAGGAGAACTGCTAAATGTCGACCAATGGTTTAAGAACCAAAATCGTTAGTTCTGTAACTGTTCAATGTGCACATTATTAACACAGCAAACGTAAAACTAAGTAAATTACACATCTATTACTTTGGAAACGTTAGCTCAAAATGCCTAACATAATTCCTCTTTTTGCTTCATCATTAACAACACTTTTGCCATGGACATCTCGCTTGAAACGATCGAAATATTGTACACGCAGTAAATCTTGTAAATTTTCATGCAGTAAATCTTGTATCTATGTTAAGCTTTGAACAACAAGGCGGTGACCACGACTAATTTGCATGCTGAACCCAAGTCGTTTGGCAGCTAATTCAACTGTATTCTGCAGACAATACATATAACAATGCTCGTGGAAGTCACACTATTGTAGTCGCGTTTAAAACCATTTAAAACACTGGTAGTCGTGTTTTGTCCTATTTGACTAAATTCCCGTGCTCCGCACTCGAATTTTAAATATGATAAAACACTCCTACATATACAGGGTGAATAAAAAAAAAACACAACCTCGGAATTTCCCATGAAATCGACATTGTTTTAAGAACAAAATATTTTAGGTGCCTGGGAATTTAAAATAGCACAACTGTCAGTGCATAAAGCAAAATTCATGCATTTATTTAACAGGAGGCTACTAGCAATTTGATTTCAATTCGCAGGGGCCTAAAATCTTTTATGCTTAAGAATTGCAAAGTGGATTTCTTAGGAAATTCCGAGGTTGCTTTTTTTTATATACACCCTGTATACGAGTGTTTTAAATAGTACGTCGAACACAATTGTCCATGCATAATTTGGTGTTTTAAACATTTTTTGTTTGCCTATAATTAGTAAACTGTTGATCAGTATTACACGTCTAAGGTGCTGTTTACATGAATCCAGATTGATTTTCAATCCAGATCGAAATGTCAAGTCAATCCGTGTTTACATGGAAAATGGGTTCGAGAATTGGAATTTGCGCGGGAAATTTCAATTCCAAGATGGCGAATGATGTAAATAACATAGATATAGGAGATCTAGATTGCTAACGTATACCTAGCGCAGGCGGGGCCTACATGATAAATCCAAGATGGCGGTACAACAGGGCAAAAAGACTATAGATTCTATTATGAAAATCAGCATTTTTGCATTTTTTGCCGTCGCATTGTTACGAAACTTATTCGGTCAAATTTTATGGTAAAGAGAAACTTACCGCGAAAATTTTGAGCATATAATATATGATTGAATTGGATGAAAAATCGCAAAATTATCCATCGATAAAAGTTCGTGTGGAATGGTCAGTTGGTCCGTTTTATTGTCAGAAATACTGTGCTATGTTAACATCTAGCCTTGCGAATGGTGTTTTATACTTGCATCTCTCATCATCATCTGCTCTGTCCTCATAATTATGAAAAACGAACTCTTATGAACCCCCACCCCCCCTCCTTGCTTGTTAGAGAAGTAAACTGATGAGAGCACTGGATGAGGGTGTATCATCTATGGTCTGTTATAATTTGCTTTTTATGCAAATAGTGAGCAAAAATTAAAGCAAAACTGTACAAGTTACATATATAGTACTAGATCAGTACTATACACGAACTTTTATCGATGGATAATTTTGCGAGTTTTCATCCAATTCAATCATATATATGCTCAAAATTCTCGCGGTAAGTTTCTCTTTACCATAAAATTTGACCGAATAAGTTTCGAAACAATGCGACGCCAAAAAATGCAAAAATCCTGATTTTCGTAATAGAATCTATAGTCTTTTTGCCCTGTTGTACCGCCATCTTGGATTTATCATGTAGGCTCCGCCTGCGCTAGGTATGCGTTAGCAATCTAGATCTCCTATATCTATGGTAAATAACATAGCAGAAGTTTTTTTTTCGGCTCTTTCCGCGCTAATACACTTATTAAACGCGTGCATGAAGCTACTGATTTTGCAAAAAGTCATTTTAAAAAGAAAAATGTAGCCATGTTATCTTATCCGGTAGCTTTCTCATTCCGGAATGAGTTTCGATTCGTGTTTACTAACTGTGATGGGATCGAAGCCAAATTTCGATCTGGACTGAAATCTCGATTCGAAATGAGGATTGAAAGTAAATTCGGATTCATGTATTAAACAGCATCTAATAATTGCTATTTAAGAGTTATTGAATTTCCAAATACCAAACAACAGGTTATATGCTTTTCCATTTGCAATGGTATTAGATCAAGTATACAACAGCGAAGGTTCCTGGCGGTGAGGACAAGGTTCCTGGCGGTGAGAACAAGGTTTCCGGCGGTGAGCACAAGGTACCTGGCGGAGAGGACAAGGTTCCTGGCGGTGAGGACAAGGTTCCTGGCAGTGAGGACAAGGTTCATGGCAGTGAGGACAAGGTCCCTGGCGGTGATGACAAGGTTCCCGGCGGTGAGGACAATGTACCTGGCGGTGAGGACAGGGTTCCTGGTGGTGAGGACAGGGTTCCTGGCGGTCAGCACAGGATTCGTGGCGGTGAGGACAAGGTACCTGGCGGTGAAGACAAGGTTCCTGGCGGTGAGGACAAGGTTCCTGGCGGTGAGGACAAGGTTCCTGGCGGTGAGGACAAGGTTCCTGGTGGTGAGGACAAGGTTTCTGGTGGTGAGGATAAGGTTCCTGGCGGTGAGGACAAGGTTTCTGGTGGTGAGGATAAGGT